TAACTTGCTCTGTGTTAGTATTTGAGACATCCTTCATGTCTCAAATGATAATTTGAGATTTAATTCACAATGCATAAAATGCATCCATTTAAAGTATGTAACTCGACCAGGTGTGGTGGCTCTCACCTGTAATCCCAGCACTTTGGGAGGCCAAGGTGGGCAGATCACTTGAGGTCAGGAGATTGAGATCAGCCTGGCCAATGTGGTGAAGCCCTGTCTCTACTAAAAATATAAAAACTAGCTGGGTGTGGTGGCACACGCCTGTAACCCAGCTACTCAGGAGACTGAGGCAGAAGAATCGCTTGAACCCAGGAGGTGGAGGTTGCAGTGAGCCCAGATCACACAACAGCACTCCAGCCTGGGTGACGGTGAGACTTCGCCTCCAAAACAAAAAAAATATTATATAATTAAATGGTTTTTAGTGTATTTGGTTGTGCAACCGTCTCCACAAGTTTAGAACATTTTCTTTATCCTCCCAAAAGAAACTCTATACCTATTAGCAGTCACTCTCTATTTCCCTCCAGCCCTCAGCCCTAGGAAATCAATCTATTTTGTTACTACAAATTTGCCTATTCTGGACATTTCATATACATGGAATCATACAATAATGTGGTCTTTTGTGACTGGCTTTATTCACTTGGCATGATTTCAAGGCTCATCCATGTTGCAATGTATATTACTACTTCTTTTTTTTTTTAAGGGTCTGTATTCTTAAGACATTTTTTTTTTAATTGCATTTTACATTTTGGGGTATATGTAAAGAACATGCAAGATAGTTGCATAGGTACACACGTGGCAGTGTGATTTGCTGCCTTCCTCCCCTTCACCTATATCTGGCATTTCTCCCCATGCTCTCTCTCCCCAACTCCCCGCCCCCCTACTACTTTTTATTTATTTACGAATAATATTCCATTGTATGGATATACCATATTGTACTTATCCATTCATTAGCTGATAGAAATTTGGGTTGTTTCTACTTTTAGCAAGTTATTTCTGCATGTTTCAACTTATTCATCCATAAAAATTAGTTAACAGCTGCCTTGTCTTGTAGGATTATGAGAGGTACACAGGGAACATATAAAATGCATTTTTTTTTTTTTTTGAGACGGAGTTTCGCTCTTGTTACCCAGGCTGGAGTGCAATGGCGCGATCTCGGCTCACTGCAACCTCCGCCTCCTGGGTTCAGGCAGTACTCCTGCCTCAGCCTCCTGAGTAGCTGGGATTACAGGCACGCACCACCATGCCCAGCTAATTTTTTGTATTTTTAATGGAGACGGGGTTTCACCATGTTGACCAGGATGGTCTCAATCTCTTGACCTCGTGATCCACCCGCCTCGGCCTCCCAAAGTGCTGGGATTACAGACTTGAGCCACTGCGCCCAGCCTGAAATGCATTATAAACTATAAAGCAGTGTAAGAATGTTAAGATATTACAGCAGGAAAAAAAGAAAAGAAAAAAAAAGTAAAGATATTTTATTAATTTTTTTTATAGATAGGGTCTCAACTCTGTGGCCCAAGCTGGAGTTCAGTGGTACAATCATGGCTCACTGCAGCCTCAAACCTCTTGCCTCAGCCTCCCTTGTAGCTGGGGTTACAGGGGCATGCCACAATACCTAGTTTTTTAAAATGTTTTAATCTGATGCTGTCTCCAGACAGTAGCTTGTTTTTTTTTTTTTTTAGAAACGAGGTTTTGCTATGTTGACTAGGCTGCTGGTCTCCAGCTCCTGGCTTCAAATAATATCAGCATGGGGCTATTACAGGTGTGAGCCATTGCACTGGCCTAACGACTCTTTTTTTTTTGAAACAGAGTCTCACTCTATTGCCCAGACTGGAGTGCAGTGGCACAATTTGGCTGACTGCAACCTCAGCCTCCCAAGTAGCTGGGATTACAGGCATGCCCTACCATACCCAGCTAACTTTTGTATTTTTAGTAAAGACAGGGTTTCACCATGTTGGCCAGGTTGGTCTTGAGCTCCTGACCTCAGATGATCTGCCCACCTTGGCATCCCAAAATGATGGGATTACAGATGTGAGCCACCGAGCCTGGCCCTAAAGACTTTTTAATATTTATATGAGATCAACTAAGGAGAGGACTGAGGTCAGTGTAACTGCCCTGAGCTTATGGCCTATTGTTGGTTAACTCAGGGCAATCAGGTTAGTATCTCCTTGGATCTTGTCTCTATGTAGAATCCATTTTGCTTTTCTCCTCTGTAATGGACTGCATCCATATTTCATCCACATTTGTTGCTAGGAGACTAGGTTAGAGTATGCTTAGCTCAGTGTAAGCCACTGCCACCACAGAAAACCATATCATAGGAGAATTATATTTGAACATCAAGGCAGTCACATTTCATCCCGATTTTTAGCAAGACCAGGGAAAAGGGCTGATGCTATAGGTGTTAAGGGCCTAAGTTTACCAAATATCTTGCCAACTCTCCTTTTTTTTTTTTTTTTCTTTTTTGAGAGGGAGTCTCACTGTCGCCCAGGCTGGAGTGCAGTGCCATGATCTCTGCTCACTGCAACCTCCCCATGCCGGGTTCAAGCAATTCTCTGCCTCGGCCTCCTGAGTAGCTGGGAATTCAGGTGCCCACCACCACACCAGCTCCTTTTTTGTATTTTTAGCAGAGATGGGGTTTCACCACCTTGGCCAGGCTGGTCTTGAACTCCTGGCCTAGTGATCCACCCGCTTCAGCCTCCCAAATGCTGGGATTACAGGCATGAGCCACCATGCCTGGCCTCCTTTTGATTTTAAGTTAGCTTCTTTCACACTCACGTGTGCCAGGGTGACTTTTTTCTCCCTTTACTGCCCATCCAGTAAGCATGCTAAGGTAATGCAAAAACATTTTAATATTAGACCAAGAGAAAACAAATTAGGAAGGAAAAACTCTTGCCATAATGAGTACAAAGATTCAAAAATCCAACTCAGATATATACTATTCACTCCCATAACTTCCTATTTTTTGCAGGTATTTTACAGCTTTATAATGTGTGGGTGCAAGTGGATGGCCAGGGTGGGCAGTGGGTTATACAAGAACTATTGTTTACTACTAGTGGCTGCCTGGAGCATAATTTCCCCCTTCAAAGCCTTGGTAAGAGCAGCTGGGGATAATGAACAGTGGTTAAAGATGCTTTGTTTTACACCCAGCAAAAAGGGTCATTAACACCTAAACTAGTTTTTTTTTTTTTTAACCAAGTCCTGTGGAAGGGCTCCTGCTGCTATTGATAATCATGGTAATCCTCGGGGTAGCAGGGGCAAAAGGGTGGGTAATTCACCAGAAAATGGTATTCACTGATTTGGATTATGTGCGCCACTGCTCCTCTCCATTCATGTGCTTAATTAAAAGCTGACTAGTACAAAATAAATGAAACTGCAATTCTTCACTGGAACTATCTGGGGAGCAACAGAAATTCTGCAGGGAGGGCATATGCCAGAAAAACTCTTTTATTGCCATCTCCCTATTATATATCTATTCTAGGGTTAGTGTTAATGTCACATCTCATTAAGGTGGCAAAAGGCTTGGAGAAGTTGTATAAGTTTCATCTTCATTTTATCAAGGATGAAATCAAGGCAAGGGGCTATGACTATGACAATATATAGTCTAGGGCATAAGTCCCAACCACATTAGGGAAAGCCCAGTAGGAACACAGAGCTATAGCTGGCTCAACCTGTATTCATGACATCGTTTCACATCATTCAGAAGTTTTTGTAGAAGTCTCTATCGTGACCAATTGTACTGCCTGGGAGTCATTTTCATTTGTTCAGTCCCTGATGGGAGAGAAAATGGAATTATTGCTTTTTTTTTTTTTTTTTTTTTTTGAGACAGAGTTTCACTCGTTACCCAGGCTGGAATGCAATGGCGCGATCTCGGCTCACCGCAGCCTCCGCCTCCTGGGTTCAGGCAATTCTCCTGCCTCAGCCTCCTGAGTAGCTGGGACTACAGGCACGCGCCACCATGCCCAGCTAATTTTTTGTATTTTTAGTAGAGATGGGGTTTCACCATGTTGACCAGGATGGTCTCTATCTCTTGACCTAGTGATCCACCCGCCTCGGCCTCCCAAAGTGCTGGGATTACAGGCGTGAGCCACCACGCCCAGCCAATTATTGCTTTCTTATAGTTAAATTAGGCAAATTTGGAGAGAGGGCATTCAACTTAGTTCACAAGGGGTGCCAAAATCCACACTGCTCCTTTTTTAAAAAAAAATGCATGGGCCGGGCTCGGTGGCATGTGTCTGTAGTTCCAGCTACTTGGGAGGCTGAGGTGGGAGGATCACTTGAGCCCAGGGGTTCTGGGATTTAGTGAGCTATGCCGATTGAGTGTCCACACTAAGTTCGGCATCAATATGGTGACCTCCTGGGAGTGGGGGACCACCAGATTGCCTAAGGAGGGGCAAACCAGCCCAGATTGGAAATGGAGCAGGTCAAAACTCCCGTGCTAATCAGTAGTGGGATCATGTCTGTGAATAGCCACTTCACTCCATCCTGGGCAACATAGTGAGACCCCCATCTCAAAAAGAAAATTTTTTAAAATGCGTGGAAAGTTATGAGTGGGCATGTGACTCACGCTTGTAATCCCAGCACTTTGGGAGGCTGAAGTGGACAGATCATATGAGGCCATGAGTTTGAGACCAGCCTGGCCAACACAGTGAAACCCCATCTCTATTAAAAATACAAAAATTAGCTGGGTAAGGTGGCACACACCTGTAATTCCAGCTACTCGGGAGGCGAAGGCACAAAAATCATTTGAACTGGGAGGCAGAGGCTGCAGTGAACCCAGATTGCGCCACTGCATTCCAGCCTGGGTAATAGAGTGAGACTCTCTCCAAAAAAAGCCAGGGCCTCAGATTTCACAAACTAATGTTTCATCACCTCCTTCCCCACCTTAAGGTAACTGCCAGGATACTCTTTTTTGTTTAATATTTAAGACAGGTGAAGAGAAATCACTGGTGGGGTCTGCCCTTCCCACAGTCCTTTTGATCACAAGTTTTCCACAAGCTTCAAAATAAAAGGCCATAAACTGAAGGTTTATTTTAAATTATCCAAGTCCCTGAAACAGAAGAGTAATTTATTTTTAGTATGAAAGTGATTAACAATAGTTGTCTCATTATTCTGACTTATCCATATTCAAAACTCACCTGCTCAGAAATCAGAAAACTGCAAACCCATAGTTTCTAACAATCCCTATTTAACCATTAAGAAAGGATTTATAACAATAAAAGTTATGTACATAGGAAAGATCAGAGAGTAGAAAGTGCTAAGCAGAGGTACCCAGAAAAGCTTTCTGTGACTGAAATAATACTTCCTGTCTAAGGTTCGGGAATAAGATGCTTCTTTTGGGGCTGAGAAATTTACATGAGAAACCTTTAGTATCCAAATTGGACTTCTGAGCTCTTTGCTGTGCCATTTTTGGCTAGTCTAAAGCAATCAGTTGGAGAAAGCAACACTGAGGAGGAGGAGGAGGAGGAGGAGGAGGAGGAGAAAGGGATTCTCAACCTCGGACCAATCTCTAGCTCCAGGGTTAAGACTGAGAACAAATACACTCAAGACCTGACCCTGAATGGCAGTGGGACAACTTGAAAAACTAATGATTTAGTGTCAAGTCAGGCTTGTTGTGAATATCTAGGTTGGCTCCATCACAGGGACCTTGTACCGAAGACCCCGGAAGAATGATAGGTGAGAGGATGATACAGCTAACGTTATGTGACTTCAAGGTAGTAACCCACAGGATGGCACCAGAAGCTCTTAACAGTGTCCTTCAGGTAAGAGACATGATTCCACTGTTAGTGGCAGCAGGGCTGAGTAAATCTCTAGTAATTTCAGGTTAGACAGGATCTTGACTCATATAACTCATGGTAGAAACTATAGGTTCTACTCTATAAATTATAATCTCTGTATATATCCAAGAGGCTGGATGCTCATAGAGAGTGACAGAACACGTGGTCTTCAAAGATCTGCTTCTCTCTTGTTGGGAAGGTCTTGCCACAAATTGGACAATTCAGACAAAGGGCCTGCATCTGCTGTTGCTCCAAGATGTGATCACAAATACCATCTGCTTTGCAGATGGGGCATTTCTTGATGGAGAGCTGGGAGTAAGAGCAAAGAGGTCAGTACAAATGTAAGCTATATGTGGCACAGATGTGGCCATCCTGTCTTCCACTGTATCCTCAGTGCCTAGCATAATGACTGGCACATGGTTAGGTGTTCAATAAATAGTGAATAAATGAAGAGAATGCACATTTGGAGATACTCACCAGGGCTTCCTCTAACCCCAGAATTGAAAGGGCCTAATATCGCTGAAGCAGCCAATATAGCTTCTAGCCTGTGGGGCACTGGACATAACTTGTTTGGCTAGCTGTCTGGTTCACATCTCCTCCCTACTTATGCTACCAAACAACTCAAAGGTATAGATCCTAAGCAAAATGCTGATGGATGAACTGTGCTTTCTTTTCCCTTCCACAACAGGCTGGCTCAGCCTTGGGCCCAGAACAAACTGATCCAGCTGACTTGTGGAGTTATCAAAACGAACCCGTCCCCCTATGGTTCTCTCATGAACTGGAGCAGGAAGGGAAATTTTCTCAAGGGCTTGGTGGGAATATTCTCATGAATCAAATACTCACCGGGCTTGGGGAAGAACTTTCTTGGGATACCTGAAAAGAATCAGAAAGATCTCATTCAATGAAAAAATACCATCCCAAGATTCTCCAGCTGTGTTCTGGCAGATATTTCCTGCAGTTTTTATTGTTCCCTTTCTCCCCACTGCCTCTGATTCTTTCTCTCTCATATGTATACCACTTACTTCTGATAGAGGGGATCTAGGTCAATGATAGGGTGAAAAGAAAACATAAATAATGAAATCATATTTTTTTTTTTGAGATGGAGTCTTGCTTTGTTGCCTAGGCTAGAGTGCAATGGCATGATCTCGGCTCATTGCAACCTCTGCCTCCCAGGTTGAAGCCATTTCCTGCCTCAGCCTCCTGCGCAGCTGGGATTACATGTGCCTACCACCGTGCCCAGCTAATTTTTGTATTTTTAGTAGAGATGGGGTTTCACCATGTTGGCCAGGCTGGTTTCGAACTCCTGACCTCAGGTGATTCACCCACCTTGGCCTCCCAAAGTGCTGGGATTACAGGCATGAGCCACTAAGGCTGGCCAAATTTTTGTAGTTTTAATAGAGCCATGGTTTCTCCATGTTGTCCAGGCTGGTCTTGAACTCCTGACCTCAAGTGATCCGTCTGCCTCAGCCTCCCAAAGTGCTGGGATTACAGGAATGAGCCACCATACCCAGGCTGAAATTGTATTTTCATTAGCTGTGTGTGTGTGTGTGTGTGTGTGTGTGTGTGTGTGTGTGTATGTATATTATACGGTTAAAAAAAACGCTATCTTCAGAGTAGGGAAAATAAAATTTTAGTAAAAATTTAATGACAGTGTTAGAATAGATTTTAAGACTGTATACACGGACAGGTGCAATGGCTCACACCTATAATCCCAGCATTTTGGGAGGCCAAGGTGGGTGGATTGCTTGAGCTCAGGAGTTTGAAACCAGCCTGGGCAGCATGGTAAAACCCCATCTCTACACAAAACACAAAAATTAGCTGGGCATGGTGGCTGGTGCCTGTAGTCTCTGCTACTTGGTAGGCTGAGGTGAGAGAATCACTTGAGCCCGGGATGTTGCAGTGAGCCAAGATAGTATCACTGCATTCCGGCCTGGACAACCAAGGGAGACCTTGTCTCAAAAACAAAACAAAAAAACTAGAGCGAATTAAAAAAAAATTATACATAAAAACAAGACTGGGCTGGGTGTGGTGGCTCATGCCTATTAATCTCAGCACTTTGGGAAGCCCAGGTGGGCAGATCACGAGGTCAGGAGATTAAGACCAGCTTGGCCAACATGGTAAAACCTTGTTGATACTAAAAATACAAAAATTAGCTGGGCGTGGTGGCAGGCGCCTGTAATCCCACCTAGCCACAAACATATTTTTAAAGAAAAATATTCTTTCATTGCCTGTATAAACTTCTGGTTGTGACTCTAAAGATAATACTGCTGCTTTAAACTGCTCAAAAAAGCAAATGAGATCTCATAGAGCTTTTGGAAGCAAATGAGAAAAGCTCTCTATTTGGCAAGGACATGTTACCCCAATCCTTTTCACCCCCATTTCCTGTCCTATCACCGAGAAGTCTCTGTGGAGCCTGTTTCTGCTGCCCTTGGTCAGGCCATCAGAGTGGCTCTGCTGTAACCACCCGTTCCTGGGCGGTATAACTTGCCTCTCTTGCTACCATTTCAAAACCTTAATTAGCTTCCTCAGCTTTGTATGTGTATATCTTCTGCATAAAGACATTTCCCTGATTTACACATTTGGAATATAGCCATGGGACTCAATTTGTGTCTGCTGCCTCTAGGCGAATGATCTGATTTGTGTCTTCTAGATTCAGATTTATTTCTCAATTAACACTTCTCTCCTGGCAATCTTTCTATTGGGTCCTCAGCTTCTGCCCAGCAAGTCTTAACAATGAGACTGGTCTTAATTAGCATTTCAGAGACAAAAATTGAGTAGGGGAAAGGGATGCAGGCAGGGTCCTTCCAGTTAGAATGGGAAAGTTGTCTTCCCAGAATATGGGTTTCCATAGACAAGTCCTGGATTTTGTCCTGCACCTCCTTCATCTGAAGTAGGTACTTGATACTGCAAAGAATTAAAATCCAGACCCATGTAACTGAGCAATCTGCTGTTCTCCCTCTGCAGAAGCTAAGGATAGCGGATTTATAGACATGTTGAAAGACAATACCAAGAACGGCCACCAGGAACTGGCCTCTCCCAGATAGTTTTCAACTAGCAATGTGGCACTAGAGAAATTCAATAATTGATAATCCAGAATTCTTCAGAAGGGAAAGCAACAGTTTCAATATTCCAAAGATCTAAGTTCTTTATACCTAAATTTATTTATTTATTTATCAATTTATCTGTTTGCTTATTTATTTTGAGTTAGAGTCTCCTCTGTTGCCCAGGCCAGAGTGCAATGGCACCATCTCAGCCCATTAAAACCTCCGTCTCCTAGGTTCAAGTGATTCTCATGCCTCAGCCTCCCATGTAGCTGGGATCACGAGGCACCCACCACCACACCTGGCTAATTTCTGTATTTTTTAGTAGAGACGGGGTTTCACCATGTTGCCATGTTGGCCAGGCTGGTCTCGAACTCCTGACATCAAGTGATCTGCCCGCCTCGGCCTCCTGAAGTGTCAGGATTATAGGTGTGAGCCACTGTGCCCAGCCTATACCTGAATTTAGATATATTTAACTAAATTTTATTTATATTAATACAAAAAATAATTTTAAATCTCTAAATACATGCCAACTAAAGGGAGGAACAAATGTGTGGATATATGAAAGTGATAGGAACCATATTAACATTGAAACTATTCTAATAGATATGTTAACACTGAAACTGTTGTATATTATTATTGTTAAATTTATTTATTTATTCATTTATTTTTGAGACAGTCTCGCCCTGTCACCAGGCTGAAGTGCAATGGCGCGATAGCTCACTGCAACCTCAGTCTCCTGAGATTCAAGTGATTCTCCTGCCTCAGCCTCCCAAGTAGCTGGGCATATACCACCACACCCTGCTAAGTTTTGTATTTTTAGTAGAGATGGGGTTTCACCAGGTTGGCCAGGATGTTCTTAATCTCCTGACCTCGTGATCCACCTGCCTCAGTCTCCCAAAGTGCTGGGATTACAGGTGCGAGCCACTGTGCTTGGCCTAAAATTATTTTTTTAGAGATAGGGTCTTGCTCTGTTACCCAGGCTGGAGTGTGGAGTGAAATCATAGCTCATTGCAGTCTTGAACTCATGGGCAACCCTCCCACCTCAGCCTCCTTAGTAGCTGGAACTACAGGCCCACAACGCCACACCTGGCTAATTTTTAAATTTTTTGTAGAGATGATAGGCTCTCACTTTGTTGCCCAGGCTGTTTCTAAATCCTGACTTCAAGTGACCTTCCTGCCTTGGTCTCCCGGTGTTATGTTATTGAGAGCAGAATATTTCTTCAATTTCCTTCCTAGAATAATTTCTTATACAATGTAAATATTCGTCTGAAATAATTTTTCCTTCTTCATGTCTTATCCCATTCAAGTGGATATACCAACAGAGAGAATGAGAGTAAGAAGGCAGGGTGGGAGGGAGGTAATGAAAAAGAGAAAAAAATTACTAAAAGTGGCACAGACATCATTTCTTTTTCCTTAGGAAAAAGAAAATAAATTTCCCTTATCATCTTAAGAGGGCTTTACTACAGTTCTTAACAAAGCTTTCGGCCAGGCATGGTGGCTCACATCTGTAATTCAAGCACTTTAGAGGCCAAGGCAGGCGGATCACCTGAGGTCGGGAGTTCAAGACCAGCCTGACCAACATGGTGAAACCCTGTCTTTATATTTAAGATTTTTTTTTTAAACAAAAGAAAAGAAAACAAAACAAAAACAAAGCTTCCAAATACCAGATCTTTCCCTTTGTTTCACAAACTATGTGTCCACCTGTCCCCCCACAATCAAACCAACCCAGGAAAACAGGGATTTCAAACTCAAGGTATACTTATCTAAATTAAGAGAATGGGAATAGGTCAGACACCGTGGCTTATGCCTGTAATCCCACCACTTTGGGAGGCTGAGGTGGGTGGATTGCTTGAGCCTAGGAGTCTGAGACCAGCCTAGGCAACAGGATGAAATCCCCCTCTGTACTAAAAACACAAAAATTAGCTGGGTGTGGTGGTGTGCGCCTGTAATCCTAGCTACTTGGGAGGCTGAAGCAGGAGAATCACTGGAACCTGGGAGGCGGAGGTTGCAGTGAGCCAAGATCGCACCACTGTACTCCAGCCTGGATGACAGAGTGAGACTCGGTCTAAAAAATAAAAAAACAGAGAATGGGAATAACAAGACTAGAAACAACAAATAGAAATAGAACCCAAAAGGCCTTCTGCAATTATGAAACACATTGGCATAACTGATATAATCAAAAGCAGAAATTGAGGGAGAATTAGTGTTTGGTAGGTAGGAATTTCAGTGTTTCGAGATGGAAAAGTTCTGGAGATCTGTTGCATAGCACTGTGATGTACTTAACTCTACTGGACTGTACACTTTAACATTATTAAGATGGTAAATTCTATGTGTTTTAACTGCAATTAAAAAAAAAAAAAGCAAACAGTAAAAATGATCACTAGGAGGCACAACCCAGAAAGATTATAGAGAGTAAAGATGGGGAGGCGGAAGATGTAGTGAGTTGAGATCATGCCACTGCACTCTAGCCTGGGTAACAGGTGAGACTCCATCGCAAAAAAAAAGTTGGGCGCATGGTGGCTCACGCCTGTAATCCCAGCACTTTGGAAGGCTGAGGCAGGCAGATCATGAGGTCAGGGGTTCGAGACCAGGCTGACCAACATGGTGAAACCTCATCTCTAAAAAAAAAAGGGCAAAGATTAAGAATTGATGGAAGTTTAGAGTAGCAGCCAGAATGCACGGACACCTATTCTTTGACACTGAGCAAGAACATGATAATGGGCCAGGCATAATGGCTTATGTCTATAATCCCAGCACTTTGGGAGGCTGAAGCAGGAGGATCGCTTGAGCCCAGGACTTTGAGACCAGCTTGGGGAACATAGCAAGACTTTGTCTCTATGAAAAATGAAAAAAAAATTAGCTGGGCATGGTGGCATATGCTTATAGTCCCAGATACTTGGGAGGCTAAGGCAGGAGGATCACTTGAACCCAGGAGATCAAGGCTGCAGTGAGCCAAGATTGTGCCACTGCACTCCAAGCCTGGGTGTCAGAGTGAGACCTTGTCTCAAAAACAACAACACCAACAAAGAAAAGAAAAGAGAAGAAAGAACATGAGAATGACCTTGACTTCAAGTACAACCACTTTATTTGCTGCCACATCATCTTCAGTCAATCAATAATAAACGTTTAACACACAGGAGATAATAAATATTGGTTGGATGAATGAATGAATGAACCAATGAATGAATGAATGCACAGCATTTATTAGGGGCCTACCATGTGTCCAGCACTGGTACAGACCACCACTTCTGCTCCTGGTTCGGCAGCAGAGAAAAATGAAAAAGTTGTGTTGAAGGAAAGTAGTTCCCCGATAGGATAAAAGTTATGTAGGATGCTATTCCTCTATCCCCCAAGGCAACAAATATTAGCTGTGAAGTTAAAAGCAAAAATAAGTTAGGTCTTTGTCCGTGTGGCTTCTTTCAAGGTGACTATTGCTATGCCAAACAAGTTTCAGTTACAGAATAAAGACAGGGTTTTGTGATAGGTTAGGAAATCAGATTAAATTTATTGTGTTTAGGAATAACCGTTTCACCCACTGTCCCAGAAAGGGTGCTTTACTTAACTTTTTATTTTTATCACTACATCTCTGGGCCACCCTGCTCCTTCCCCTTAAAATCTTGGGATTTTCTACCCTCTTTCACATACTTACATCATTTTCTCCTTCCGATCTCTCTTTCTCTCTCTGCAGAACATTACATATCGTTTTGTTCTCACTCAGTCTTCTTAACAGGTCAAAGTTTTCATCCTGTCAACAATAAAAAAAAAAAAGGATTAGGATTACATATTGCAGTCTGAGTACAAGGTGGGAAATTGTAGAGGATCTTCCAAAGCGGGGAGACTGAGTTGGAGAAGGCAACTGGGAGGAAGAAATGGTACTATGGGCAGGGTGCTGAAATCAAGAAAAGTGACTTAAAAAAACGCCTGAAGGTCTGAGCTGGCATCAAGATGACAGTTTACTTTTTTTTTTTTTTTTAATTTAGCTAAGGGTATAAGTGACCAATGAGAGAAAAAGCAAGCTTGGGGAAAATCTCAAGACTGACTTATCAGAATTAGGGATAAATGAAGCCTTGTTTAATCCCACCCAACCATGAAAACAATCATCTTTGTTTTCAATAAACATCTCACTCAATGAAGCCTGAAGCACTTAGGTTTGAGTTGGTGTGATTCCTTCCTACAGTGTGAGGATAGGCATCTGGGCTCAAGTTACATGAAGGAAGAGGGAACACAGGAAGGCATCTGTTCAAAAATACAAGCAGCCCAGACTGGGGTCTTGAGCATCCTGTGTGATGGGCTGACCTAACTGGTTTCATGCTTCAGTGCTTCTTCCCATCTTCTACCTGCATACATACACATGTGCATACCTCACAAATACACTTAAGCTAAGGCTACTAGTTGTGGTTTTTGATGCAAGATTTTTTATTTGAATGCTGGTGCCCAAACTGCTGTGCAGTCTAGCCGACCCTGAGGTAGTAATGCGAGAGGGGGCTACCCGGTGACAGTGCTGACTGCAGACTCCTTGCTTCCCATCCCCGTTGGCTTCTGCTGGCTCTTCTGGTCCTGTTTCACTTCCTCAAAAGGCAGAAATAAGAAAGGGCTCTCTGAGTCTGCACAGAAACCTGCCAAAAACCTTCCCTAAGACCTGTAGCTAAGTTGGGGCCTGTATTTCCAGGAACCTCTATGGTAGTTTCTAGCCACACACTACAGTCCCTGTTTATAGTGGAAAGATAAATTTCTCTCCTTAACAAGGGTGTACAATCTTCTGGGCTTGGTCTAAGAACCACTGACCTTCACACCCCTTGCTTTCCTGGGCCCCTTATCTCTGTCACCTACCAGTACAGCTGCCCTGGGTTGCCTGATCAGTTTGTGAAGTCCTTGACACTCTTTACACTTCTCTGACAAACAGGCCTCTATGTTTGCCTTTAGGCATTCCAGCGATTGCTCTAACAGCTCCTCCACAGTTAGTGCTGCTTTCTTGCTCCTAGGCTCCTGAAGCATAAGATACACAGTCTTCATAGTTAGCAGCCTTTTAGGATGTATGAGGAATTAGGATTGCTATCAGTCAGGTGGGGAGCCCCTATGTCTTGAAAAATATTCCATGAGAATCCAGGAAATTGGCTGGGTGGGGTGGCTCATGCCTGTAATCCCAGCACTTGGGGAGGCCGAGGCAGGTGAATCACCTGAGGTCAGGAATTTAAGCCTGGCCAACACGGTGAAACCCTGTCTTTTCTAAAAATACAAAAATTAGCCAGGCTTGGTGGCAGGCTACTGTAATCCCAGCTACTCAGAAGGCTGAAGCAGGAGAACAGCTTGAACCCAGGAGGAGACTGCAGTGAGCTGAGATCAGGTCAGGTACTCCAGCCAGGTTCAAACTTTTCAACAACTATAGATTCCTTCCTTGATTACCTCCTTGATTCCTTCCTTCCCTCCCTCCCTCCCTTCCCCTCTTCCCCCTTCCTCTCTCTTTCTTTCTTTTTTTGAGACAGAGTCTCGCTTTGTCGCCCAGGCTGGAGTGCAATGGCCACTGCACCCGCCCGGGACTACAGATTATTTAAAACAAGAATTTCGACCAGGTGCGGTGACTCACATCTGTAATCCCAGCACTTTGGGAAGCCAAGGTGGGCGGATTGCCTGAGCTCAGGAGTTTAAGACCAGCCTGGCCAACACAGTGAAACCCTGTCTCTACTAAAATACAAAAAAAAAATTAGCTGACTGTGGTGGTATGCTCCTGTAGTCCCAGCTACTTGGGAGGCTGGGGCAGGAGAATCGCTTGAATCTGAGAGACGGAGGTTGCAGTGAGTTGAGTTGGTGCTATCGCACTCCAGCCTGGACAACAGAGCGAGACTCTGTCTCAAAACAAAACAAAACAAAACAAAAAAACTCAGTAATTTCTTTGCTACATCAGAGGTCACAAATTGGAATGTGCTTATAAAGACCAGGCAAGAAATGTAATCAAATGAAGGAACTGAATGCAACAAAACAGTGCAGACTGCAGCTAGATGGAGAACTCATGACCCATCTCCAGGGCACAGCAGCTACTTGGCTCTAGCTATTGCCACTGCACAGGAATGTGGGCTCAATGTTGCTAGGTCCTCTCATTTCCCAAAGGAAGCTGGAAATACAAATTTTTGTGGAAAATATTCCTATTTTTAAATGTTGGTAACTATTTTTTTTTTTGAGATGGAGTTTCGCTGTTGTTACCCAGGCTGGAGCGCAATGGCGCGATCTCGGCTCACCGCAACCTCCGCCTCCTGGGTTCAGGCAATTCTCCTGCCTCAGCCTCCCAAGTAGCTGGGATTACACGCACACGCCACCATCATGCCCAGCTAATTTTTTGTATTTTTAGTAGAGACGGGGTTTCACCATGTTGACCAGGATGGTCTCGATCTCTTGACCTCGTGATCCACCCACCTCGGCCTCCCAAAGTGCTGGGATTATAGGTGTGAGCCACTGCATCCGGTCTTGTCATGAAGTTTAACTGGCAATATTCCTTAATCACTTATCACACATTAGAAATGCCCACTTCTAAACATTTTGTAAATGGCAGATTCGCTGTTCTTTTGGCTAGAAAGCAAAAGATCTAGAGGTGAACACTCTCTTATTTATCCTGTCCGTCACCTGAAAAATAGGCCCATATCCCTTCCTTCATATAGGCTCCCTCCCACATAACCATCCAAAGACAGACATGCCATTAATTCCTGTTGCTTCTTCATTGCAGTAGTTTCATTTTGCTTCATTTCTTCCACTGTCTGCTCGAGCTTCTTCTGGTCTTTCCTCTGCAAAAACAGATTTCAGTACCATTGCTGGGAAAACACACACATGCACATATACGCCATGGAAGGGCCTCCTAAGCTAATAAGCAAGCAGGATGCAGAGAGAGAGGCAAGTCTTCTCTTGTCAGTTTCTGAAGAAAGCCATGAGCTATCTCATTTTAGACTTTCCTCTGAGATCTTTCCTAGAGCCAGTGATACCCAGGTGTATGATAAAAAAAGACAACATATATTTTCTTGCAAATGCCTAAAAGCGTTGCTTTCTTCCATGAACTCTACCTGTTCAGTTAAACTGAGAAAGAGGTGGTCATTTTCTTTTTTCAGATGCTCTAACTGCTCTGTCTTTTCTTGATCTCCCTGAACAAGCTTCTCCATTTCTTTCTCTTGAGTTGACAGCTGGGCCTAAAGCAAAAATAGTGAATATAACCAAGATATAAAAGAAGGAAAACAAAACAGGAACAATGCATTTTAATGTACAATAACAAAGAAATGCATTTCCTTAGCAACTCCCAACTGCCAAATATCTTGTAGAACTCCTTTACTTTTCAGCTCAACTCTATAGCCTAAGAATCTAAGGGTCAACTGAGTAAAATTAGACAAACCACTCTGTAAAGCAGAGTGGTTTAAGGCATAGCTTCCTGAAAATGAGAGCTGTTCTGCTATCTGCTTCATATTCTAGGCTTTTGAGTACGATTTTGCTTGAAAAGATTAAAGCTTGAGTATTGGTATAGATAACTGTCACCTATATTAAGAGTTCATGTTAAATTAGCTTAGTAATACATGAACAAATCACTAAGTTCCTTGTGAATCATGATTTTTTTTTTTTTTTTTTTAGATCGAGTCTTGCTCTGTTGTCCTGGCTGGAGTATAGTGGTGCAATCTCTGCTCACTGCAACCTCTGCCTCTGGAATTCAAATGATTCTTCTGCCTCAGCCTCCACAGTAGCTGGGATTACAGGCGCACCCACCACGCCCAGCTAATTTTTGTATTTTTAGTGGAGACGGGGTTTCACCATATTGGCCAGGCTGATCTCAAACTCCTGACCTCAGTGATCCACCTGCCTCGGCTTCCCAAAGTGCTGGGATTACAGACATGAGCCACTGTGCCCAGCTGTGAATCATGATTTTTTTTCTTAAAGTGGGGGTGTGGATAAGGTGAAGGCTTACTTCATCCAAGAATGGAAAAAACACGTAACCTGAAACTTTAGTGTGATACTTTGTAAAGTATGCCATTAGTCACCCACTGCAATAAAATACATCTTTCTAGGCCACCAAATTGGAGTGGTGGCAAGGCTAAGAAAATATCCTTTGACAAAGGTATGACATTACCTACCTGAAGCTGATCCACTCTGATTTCCATCTTCTTGTTTTCTGAGGACATCTTCTGGTTTTGTTCTTTCAGTCTGTAGAGGTGGAAATAACTATGTGAAAAATTCACTGATTCCAGCTACCCCTGGCCTTAAATGATTTAAGGCTGGCTTGGCCCTAAGCCCTGCAGAGTTATTTAAAAATCTACTAGTTTCCACTGCCGTCCTGTTTTGGCTTCTTGACTCCAAAAACTGCAAGTATTCCATCCCTAAAGTCAGTATTTGAAATCAGATCATTTCTCCTGACTATTTTGATACTGACTTTCTAATTCATGATTCAAAGGGGGAGAATCACACCTATCAATGTCATAACAGTGTTTTCTCACAAATTCCAGAAATCTAATCTGACTGTACTTTTTTTTTTTTAGACGGAGTCTTCGCTCTGTCAACCAGGCTGGAGTGCAGTGGTGCAACTGGCTCACTGAAACCCCTGCCTCCTGGGTTCAAGCAATTCTTCTGCTTCAGCCTCCTGAATAGCTGGAACTACAGGTGCACACCACCATCCCTGGCTAATTTTTGTATTTTTAGTAGAGACGGGGTTTCACCATGTTGGCCAGGCTGGTCTTGAACCCCTGACCTCATGATCCTCCTGCCTTGGCCTCCCAAAGTGCTGGGATCACAGGCGTGAGTCACTGTGCCCCGCTAATCTTAATATATTGATGGTACAGCAGCTCTTCCCCTCCCAGAATTATGGGACACACTCACTGAAGCAGCTCTGTCTCCCAATAGTCGTCCTGCTCTTTTAGTTTCCGTTCCAACTTCTTATTGATGCTCCGTAGGGTTTCTAGCTCCTCCTACATATTGCAACACCAACAAAGAGACAGACTATTTCTATGATACTTTTGCATGAATATCTGAGGCAGGCAACAACTATTTATTGAGCACTTACTATATGTCAGGCAGAGCATGACACAGCAGTGAATGAAATATTTAAATAAAAGGATTTCCACATTAAAATGTTCTTTTTTTTTTTGAGATGAAGTCTCACTCTATCGCCTGGCTCACTGCAACCTCTGCCACCCGAGTTCAAGCAATTCTTCTGCCTCATCCTCCTGGGTAGATGGGATTAATTTTTGTATTTTTAGTAGAGACAGAGTTTCACCATCTTGGCCAGGCTGGTCTTGAACTCCTGATCTCATGATCCACCCATCTCAGACTCCCAAAGTGCTGGGATTACAGGTGTGAGCCACCATGCCTGGCCACAAAATGTTCTTTTTATATTAAAAATATGTCACCTTAATTTCTCTTTTCACTGGAGCGTATAATTTGTTCATTAAACAAATACTTACTCAAGCCTATTCCACACTGGACACTGTTCTTGCACTGCAGACACAGCAGTGGACAAAATAGACAAAACTGCCCTTTTCAAAGAACAGTGCTGTTCAATAAGTAAAAGCCACATATAATTTTAAAATCTAAAAAAAAAAAAAAAAGGCCGGGCGTGGTGGCTCATGCCTGTAATCTATTTTGGAGGCCAAGTCGGGCGGATCACCTGAGGTCAGGAGTTCAAGACCAGCCTGGCCAAGATGGTGAAACTCTGTCTCTACTAAAAATACAAAAATTAATCCCATCTACCCAGGAGGATGAGCCACCATACCTGGCCAAATGATAGTATATGTGACCCAATATAGCTAAAATATCATTTCAACATATAAACAATTAAAAAGAGATACTCAGCTGGGCATAGTGGCTCATGCCTGTAATCCCAGGACTTTGGGAGGCCGAGGTGGGTGGATCACCTGAGGCCAGGAGTTCAACACTGGCCTGGCCAACATGGTGAAACTCTGTCTCTACAAAAATACAAAAATTAGGTGAGTGTGGTGGCAATCACCTGTAATCCCAGCTACTCAGGAGGCTGAGGCAGGAGAATCACTTGAACCTGGGAGGCAGGGGTTGCAGTGAGCTGAGATTACACCCTTGTACTCTAGTCTCTATGACAGAGTGAGACTCCATCCCAAACAAAGAAACAAAACTGATGCCTGTTCAAAGATATTGGTATCAGAGGGAGAGATCACAGGCAAAACAGAACATAGTGCTAGATAAGATGCATATCTAATTCTGATCTCCATGCTCCAAGGTCACCTGTAACCAGCCGCTATACCTGCTTCTTTTGGAGCTCAGCCTGCATGTCTGAATTCTGTTTCTGGAGGCTAACACAGCTGTCCTTCAGCTCCTGGTTTTCTTTGCAAAGCTCCTTGTTGTGCTGTTGAATCTCTTCCACCTCTCCCTACAAAAGAACATTCCATAAACTATATTCCAAGTCTCTCTAGCAGAAAATTCCCATAGGTAAGGATGGTGAGGGAGGGTCTGGCTGATTCCCATTCACTGTAGTGACATCTGTGTACCCCAAATGGGGGCTGCTCCTTGACACATAGGTAAGGGTATAACAGAGGTGTCGCTATAATTGCAGCATTACCAAGAAAGATAAGCAAAAATTAAAGCCATTAAAAGTTAAAAGAGACAATGGTACAAGAATGCAGCTTCTTCTTGCAGACACTTAGTAGTATTGTTTGTCTCTCCCAAGGGACTTAGCTCCTTGAGGCCAGGGACAGTATTTTAACTGATTCTTCCCAGTGTTCCCAGTGCCTACCATAGTGCTGGATGAAGAGCAAGTGTCCTGTTAAATGATGAAGAAAATGAATCTAATACTCATGTATGACAGATAGGCTCTGGGCCAGAACTGAAAGAGATGAGAATATTTGGTGCTTCTCTCTTCAAAGGAGCTTATACATTAACTGTGGTGATAAGATGTATAGATGACAAAAATTAAGCAACTGGAAAAGTTAAAAGAATAACTGAATGCCAGCTGAGTTAAAGAAGTTTTAAAGAAGGAAGAAATAACTTATTATTATTCTTAACATTCCTGAGTCTGTGTGAGTACTATATAAATTTTTTCCAACAATATCCGTAAGATATTCAATAAAGCCTTATTGACTCACCTTTCATCCTATCTTATACTGCTACTTGTAATGGCAGTGAGGAATTGAGGTGAGAAGTTTACAGACCTGAGTGGTAACAACCAGGATGTCTTCCTCATTTTCTGGACGGAATTGAAAAGGAATACTTGCTCCCCGGACCACACCATCCTGATCCACGTAGCAGAACTGGTAATACTCATCATCCTTGGGCAGGTAGTAAGCTGAAAACACAACATAATTTTAAATCCAAAATCAGATCTATTCAGAAAAGTAACATTCTGGAGGTCTTTTTATATGCCCCAGAAAGCTCAAGCTGAAGGGAATTAGTTAGTCTTGGCTACTGTCTTCAACACCTTTGATCCAGCATTCTTCTCACCTTTGAATTGGACTTCCTGCTGTTTGGCTGATTCGTTGTTTAGGTCGATGGGCAAATTAACCCACATGAAGGTGTAATACTCATGGGTTGTCTTCCATCCCACCTGCAATGACAAGAAGTTCTTATTTAGTACCTGAAAGGAGTCTGGGGAAAATCCTGATTGGGCTACGTCTTCTTAAAACCACTTTTTATTTGTATATATGAAAATATAATAGAATGAGTTCATTATGACAAGATTCTCACATCAGGGCTCAAATTTGTTTTTAATTTTTAATTTTATTTTTTGTTTATGACAACTACATATGGGAAAATGTCTGATACAACCAAAATTTGGGGTGTACATACACAGCTCATAAAACAAGTCTTGGAAGGATTTGCAAACTAGTTCCTCACCACCCAGAAGAGTTCCAAAAATTCTATCTATAAGTCAGACAGAGCTGATATTGATTTGAGGGGAAAGTTCTGGGATTATGAACCCTGATCCTCTTACAATGGCATTCTTTGGACTTCTAAATCAGAATGCACTTCTGAGCTGCCGTCTCCACTGGTTTGTCTTCTACTGTGTCTAATTAAGCCTTGTCATATACCAACCTGAATATACCACTGCATTAAAAAAAAACTGCATTCTTTTTTATAATGTCTGTGTTGGGTGCAGAGGGAGAACAGGGTTCTTAGATTTTGAGGCACCAGGTAAGAGATTCCAGGTCTATATAATTTTCTTTCTTTACTGTTTCTCATAATGCATGCTTAATGATGGCTTTTTGGTAATAAAGATATTAACCACAATCTGGTAGTCGTAAAGCCTCTTCTAGGTATTGAATACAATAAATCATAAGACATAAGGATGCAGCAAAACATGCCTCAGAGCAGAAAGCTGGCTAAGTGGAAAATATTCTCACAAATATGAAGGGGATAAAAGATTGCTCGAATCTTATCTGGAAGATAAAAGCACACCAGAGAATAGAAAGGAAGCTATTGTGTCTTCAAGGGGACAACACTCAGCAAATGAGAAGGAAATTACATTTATTGCCATATTTGGCCCTGCCTGAGCTCAGTAAGAAGAGAACTAAAAATAAATCTCATTTTTATATATTAAGGAATCAAAGCAGGGTTGAAAAGGCTATACCAAAAACTCATCAGAACATCCTAGGGCATGTTTTAGAGTCTCATTAATACATACCCCATTGCTGTAAGCATCTTAGAGCCACTGGAGCCTGTGGTGGTACAGGAAGCAGGAATTTTATGGAGTCCTCATTCACATCCTGGAGTTTTTTAATGCGCTGTGACCAAAATATCGTTGGGAAGGCCTAAGAATTATTGCTGCCTTGGAACAGGGAAACGAATTCTAGCCACCTGCAATTTCTGCCCTTGGCTCCTCCATTTGAGTAGTCCTTGTTCCAGTTTGTCTTGGAAACATTTAAATGCCCAAGTCAAAGAGAGTATGAAGCATAGGATTATACACTGAGGGAAAGAAAGCAGACTCCTTCCTGCTTTAGGCTCCATCATCGGTGGTAGCTTTCACTATAAAGAAGATGTAATGTAGTTGTATGTATTAAAAACATTTACTGGCCAGGCGCAGTAGTGCATACTTGTAATCCCAGCTACTCGGTGGTTGAGGCACAAGAATCACTTGTGGAGGTAGAGGATGCAGTGAGCCCAGATTGTGCCTCTGCACTCAAGCCTGGATGATAGAGCAAGACTCTATCTCAAAATAAAAGAAATTTTAAAAATAAATAAAAAATAACATTTACTGAGTGCCTCCCTGGTGCCAGATACTACCAGTGTCTGGGGCAATGAGGAGTTGAATAGTCCGATTAAGGCTACACTGAAGGAACACTGGGGAGAGCATTAGAGGAAAGATGTGAAGAACGAAACTTTACAGTTAACTCTTCATTCTCTAATTTACTATCTGTTGCTCAAAGGAATTCAGCAGAGTAGAGAAGAAAAAGCAGAGGTTTGGAAACCAAACTAGCTTCATGGCTTATTCACTGTGAGGCCTTGGGAAAGTCACTATCTCTCAAGGATATTCATTTTACTTACTTATGCCCAAGAGATACTACTACCCATCTCAGGGGGCTACTGCACTGTGAGGATTTAATTAGAGAATACGCACGCACGCACACATTCTACACAATGTACTACTACAAAACTACATAATACTACATTGTGGAAAACTACATAAATGTAGTTTATAAATTTAGGATGATGGAGCCTAAAGCAGGAAGGAGTCTGCTTTCTTTCCCTCAGTGTATAATCCTATGCTTCATACTCTCCTTGACTTGGGCATTTAAATGTTTCCAAGACAAATTGGTAAAAATTCTAGTAAGTAATTTTTGAATCATTCTCTTTTTCATGATTTGTACCTGCATTAACCAATGTTATCCACTAGCCACATGAAGCTATTTATTTTATAATTAATTAACATTAAGTAAAATTTAAAATTCAGTTACTCGGGCCAGGCGCGGTAGCTCACACCTGTAATCCCAGCACTTTGGGAGGCCGAGGCAGGCGGGTCACCTGAGGTCAGAAGTTTGAGACTAGCCTAACCAACATGGAGAAACTGTCTCTACTAAAAATACAAAATTAGCCAGGTGTGGTGGTACATTCCTGTAATCCCAGCTACTCTGGAGGCTGAGGCAGGAGAATTGCTTGAACCCAGGAGGTAGAGGTTGCAGTGAGCTGAGATTGTGCCATTGCACTCCAGCCTGGGCAACAAGAGTGAAATTCGGTCTCAAAAATAAATAAATAAAATCCAGTTACTCAGTCACACTAACCACATTTCAAGTGCTTAACAGTCACATGTGGCTAGTAGTTACTATACTGGACAGTGAAGCTACAGCTCCATTGTGGAAAACTCTAACTGGGCAATGTGACCTATATGCTTTGCTATATATGGGGAAGAAGAAAAACAACTACCATCTTCTTTATAAGATAGAAAACACTCCGGTGTGTTGGCACACCTTTTAGTGTCATGATTCGATACCCTGAAGTCTCAACAGCTGTCATGATACTTGCCAGTGTCCTGCTGGTTGGCCACTATCCCTATCTCCAAACACCAGTCATGTTACCTCCAGCTTCCATAGCTTCATCGATAAACTTGATGTTCCAAACAATTATGGAAAAGGAATTCAATGAAGGATATAAATAAGCAACACCTCCTTCACAGTGCAGTTGAGAACAGTGTCTGATTTCAGGTTGAACAGCACTGGCAAATAGGCACATGACAGACTGAGGTGTCAAACCAAAGGTCACTGACATTGGGAACTGGCAGTGTAAATTACTTAAATCTGACCTTTATTTCCTGTCTCTGGAAACAGGAAGATTTGTCATTATGGTATGTGTGGGATGTATGAGAGAGAGATATGGATGGGAGGGCGAAGGGAACATAGAGAGTAAGTTAATTAAAATTTAAAAATACCCTTCTGGCTGGGAGCAGTGGCTCACGCCTATAATCCCAGCACTGTGGGAGGCCGAGGCGGGTGGATCACAAGGTCAAGAGATCGAGACCATCCTGGTCAACATGGTGAAACCCCATCTCTACTAAAAATACAAAAATTAGCTGGGCATGGTGGTGTGCACCTGTAGTCCCAGCTACTCGGGAGGCTGAGGCAGAAGAATTGCTTGAACCCAGGAAGCAGAGGCTGCAGTGAGCCGAGATCGCGCCGTTGCACTCCAGCCTGAGTAACAAGAATGAATCTCCATCTCAAAAAAAAAAAAAAAACCATTCTGTACTTGAATTGATGGGGTGATCAGACACTGGAAGAGGTCACGAAGGAAGCTCATAAAATTTCAGTCCTTGGAAATTATCATAAATAGACACACTTATTCAGAAATAAACTTTTTGGATGCAGGATGTCAATATCCTCAATATCCTTTCCAGATTTGTGTTATTTGTATCAAAACAAACTAAACACCATACCAAGTAAGGAAGTAATGTTTAGTCTCAGAAATGACATATGAGGTCAACCATCTCAGTCAAGTCATACATAGGTATTTCAAAATAGGATCATTTAAAAAGCATTTAATGGCCAGGCACGGTGGCTCACACCTGTAATCCCAGCACTTTGGGATGCCAAGGTGGGTGAATCACCTGAGATTGGGAGTTCGAGACCAGCCTGACCAACATGGAGAAACCCTGTCTCTACTAAAAATACAAAAGTTAGTCAGGCATAATGGTGCATTCCTGTAATCCCAGCTACTCAGGAGGCTGAGGCAGGAAAATCACTTGAACCTGGGAGGTGGAGGTTTCGGTAAGCCAAGATCACGCCATTACACTCCAGCCTGGGCAATAAGAGTGAAAACTCCATCTCTAAATAAATAAATAGCATTTAATTTGGGAGGCCAAGGTGGGCAGATCATGAGGTCAGGAGTTCGAGATCAACCTAGCCAACATGGTGAAATCTGGTCTCTACTAAAAATACAAAAATTAGCCAGGTATAGTAGATGTGCCTATTATCCCAGCTACTTGGGAGGCTGAGGCAGGAGAATCACCTGAACCTGGGAGGTGGGTGTTGCAGTGAGCCAAGACTGCCCTACTGTATTCCAGCCTGGGCAATAAAGCGAGACTCTGTCTCAAAAACAAAAACAAAAAAATCAGTTAGGCATTGTTCTGCACACCTGTAGTCCCAGCTACTCAGAAGGCTGAGGTGAGAGTATCACTGAGCCTGGGAGGTTGACGCTGCAGTGAATTGCACTCCAGCCTGAGAGAGAGAGTGAAACTCTATCTCGACAACAAAAAAGCGTTTATATTTGGTCTTTGAAAGTATAATAAAATTTGAGGATTATATGATTTGCCATCTTATTTTAGCTTGACACTGAAATGAAAATTTGAGTCCTAGAGCACACATTAGTGTGTGAAGAGAGAAGTGCTGTGGAGCTTGGCTAGGATTTAAAAATTGCCCGCACATATACAAAATGCTTATAATACACAGAGATTCACACACTCAGGTAAGTAAGATTCACCTCTAGTTCCTGATCACTTGGTACTAAGTTAACCACTTACTCTAAAGATGCCAATCCAATCCTTTCGACGAGGGATGAAAGGCTGGGTGAAGGTGTAATGACATGTGACATCCACTTCAGGGATGTAGAACTTCTCCACACTGTTAAAGATGACCTGAGAGAAATGACAGTGATCCAGCAAGACAGCTGATGTCGGGGGATCTTCAACAGTCTTCTCCATGGTAGGGGTCCTGTTATGAAATATGGAATACAGTAAGGCTGAGAAAGCATTGTCTGAAATGTTGGCGATTTCTGGGCTTTCATCCAGGGAACATTTTGTGCAAAGCAAGTCAGTAAAAGCAAAATCCTTTCAAATACTGCGATTACACAATTTGCTTTCTGTTTCACTTCGAGCCATCTCAGTCACAACTTCCTATGCTACGAGAATTTTCTGACAATATCTTAAACTTCTTTGCCACAGGCACCACAACCCTCACATGAATAGAGCTCATAGCTACTCTGGTTTCTCTTTCTCTAAGTGCCTTAAATAAGCAAGGTGGCCTAGGTAAAATAGCCTGAGCTGGGGACTGTTAAACTTAAATTCTAGATTTTTCATCCCAACAAGCCCTATAACTTTAGGAAAGTCCATCTCTCTGGATTTCATCTTCTACATTCAATTCCATTTATCCTGTAATTATCAGGACCTTCCATATATTAGATACTTTGCTAGGACCTGGTGATGGGAGTGAAAAGAAAGGAATGAGAGAAAATTCTTTGACCTGCAGTGGTGACAAGCATGGGTTCTAAATCAGAATGGAGTTCAAATTCCAGCTTTGCCACCTCTTAAATTTGTGGCATTGGGCAATTTATTTAATCTACTAGGCTCTGTGCTTGTTTCCTCATCTGTAAAATGGGGGTAAAAATAACATCTACCCCATTTAGTTTTTTGTGAGGCATAAGTGAAATAATATAAAATGTATAGCCCTTAAATCAGTGTCGGCCACTGTAGTGTGTAGGCACTTTACACAAAGTAGATGCATGTTGAATGACAAAGTACTTAGCACAGAGTCTGCATAAAGGGTTTAAGAGACGTTAGTTATATAGTTATTACTGTGGTAGTTGTGGGTTTTTTTTTTTCCTGGTACAATCTTTTTTTAAAAGGAGTCCCAGTCCAATAGAGGGAATCCATGAGTATACAAACGACTGCCAAATGAATCAAATAAGAAGGGCAAAATGCTCTGGGGTTCAAAAGAGGGAGAGATGAAACTGGTTAGGAAAATAAAGAAAACTTCAGGGAATGAAAAGAATCTTCTATTAGCCCTCAAAGAGGATTAGGATTTTGACAAGTGAGTTTCTGAGTGAGGGCATTTTAGGCGAAGGAAACTGCATGAGTAACAACAAAGAATCAGAAAAATGCAACCTGCATTTGGAAGACAGAAAGCAAGTTTGGATCTCTAGCTATTAATGGGATCCAAATGTGTTTTACTTTCTAGGTTATAATGCAGATAAAATGTGATCAAGAATAGGAAAGTTGTGGCTGGACCAGTGGCTCACACCTGTAATCCCAGCACTTTGGGAGGCTGAGGCTGGCAGATTACAAGGTCAGGAGATCAAGACCAACCTGGCCAACATGGTGAAACCCCATCTCTACTAAAGAAAAAAAAATAATAACTGGGCGTGATGGCAGTTGCCTGTAATCCCAGGTACTGAAGAGGCAGAAGAATCGCTTGAACCCAGGAGGCAGAGGTTGCAGTCAGCCAAGATCGTGTACCATTGCACTCAGCCTGAGCAACAGAGCAAGACTCTGTCTAAAAAAAAAAAGGAAAAAAAAAAGAATAGAAAACCATTTTGGAGGCAAAAGCAGTACATAAAAGAAACAAAGTGTTGGTCAGCTGTGGTGGCTCACACCTGTAATCCAAGCACTTTGGAGGCCAAGGCGGATGGATCACCTGAGGTTAGGAGTTCAAGACCAGCCTGACCAACATGGGGAAACCACATCTTAAAAAAAATTCTTTTTAAATAAAACAAAAAATAAAAAAAGAGAAACAAAGTGTTTTGAATTGTTGACACTGAATACTTCCTGCCCCTTAAACAAGTCCCATGCACTGTTTTCTAAATAACTAGCTTGTCTAACATTTAGCGAGTCCATAATTCTCAACTTAGGGTTTTACCAGGACATGAAAAAAATTTCAGCTGTACACAGCAGATGAAGAAAGAGCTATATACATGCAAATACTACATGATACTTTACAAATTCAGCTATTGGTATGTGCTGGAAGATTGTGTACACATACAGACACACATATAATTTCTAAAAATATGTAAGTACAATAACCAAAAATAGCCAGCATGTCCCCTCTGTCCTAAGCCTGGAGCACCAATTTATCTGTGCATGTAAAATCACTTAACTTGTCCTTTCCAGGATCAGGAAGAACACTTAGATAAGAGTGAAATTGGCTGGGTGTGGTGGCTCATGCCTGCAATTCCAGCACTTTGGGAGGCCAAGGCAGGGCAGATCACCTGAAGTTAGGAATTTGAGACCAGCCTGGCTTTATGGTGAAACCCTGCTTCTACTAAAAATACGAAAAATTAGCCAGGCTTGGTGGCACGTGCCTGTAATCCCAGCTAGCCAGGAGGCTGAGGCAGGAGAATTGCTTGAACCCAGGAGGCGAAGGTTTCAATGAGCCAAGATCGTGCCACCGCACTCCAGCTTGGGCAACAAGAGCAAAACTCCATCTCAAAAAAAAAAGTGACTAAGGGCCTGCCCCTCAGTTAACCTAAGTACCTTACGCTCATTTCTTTTCCTTTACAACACTATCACCATGGTATATATAATGCAATGCCTAAGGTGTAATAATCACTGATTAAGTATTTGTTGGATAAACGAACTAACAAGATAAGCACATCATTCATCAAAAAGTAAAAAAGTAGGTAAACAATGGTAAGGGTGACTTTGGGGCTAAGAGACTATGTATTTTATTTTTTTGAGATGGTGGCTTGTTCTGTCACTTAGACTGGAGTGCAGTGGCACAATCTCAGCTCACTGCAACCTCCGCCTTCCAAGTTCAAGTGATTCTCCTGCCTGAGCCTCTTGAGTAGCTGGGACTACAGGTGCATGCCACTATGCCCAGCTAATTTTTGTATTTTTAGTAGAGATGGAGTTTCACCATGTTGGCCAGGATGGTCTTGATCTCTTGACCTCGTGATTGTCCTGTCTTGGCCTCCCAAAGTGCTGGGATTACAGACTTGAGCCACCGCGACCAGCCTATTTCTTTAAGTCCTCTTAATTTGGTGGTTACCCTTGGAGAGCCTGCTGTTTCTCAGCTTTCTATTTTCTAAAATAAAGTGAGTAGATGATAATCTCTGAGTGCTAAGTCACTTCTTGGTATGGCTGGTTCAAGTAGCATGGTACCATTTCCTTAAGAACCCATCAAATTCACACTCCATTACCTAGCTTCCACACACTCAAACTATGGCAAGCTGTTGTGAAAATGGATGTTATTCTGAAAGGCAAGACCAGCCAAGGGGATGCGTGGCTCGGAACAGCCTCTCTTTCATTACTAGAAAAACAACCAATCTGGCAGGGCACGGTGGCTCATGCCTATAATCCCAACACTTTGGGAGGCCAAGGAGGGTGGATCACCTGAGGTCAGGAGTTCAAGAGCAGCCTGATCAACATGGTGAAAACCTGTCTCTACTAAAAATGCAAAAATTAGCCAGTTGTGGTGGCGGGTGCCTGTAATCCCAGCTACTCGGGAGGCTGAGTAAGGAGAATCACTTGAACTTGGGAGGTGGAGGTTGCAGTGAGCAAAGATCACACCATTGTACTTCAGCCTGGGCAACAAGAGCAAAAACTCCATCTCAAAAAAAAAAAAAAAAAGAAAGAAAGAAAGAAAAAGAAAAGAAAAACAACCAATCTAAGTTAGCTTATAAGCAGAACACTGAGGAAGGACAGCACATATATATTCAACACGAAAGAGCTCATGTTCTGAGGTTTGAGTGTATAGTCAAAGAAACCCTAGCTCTTTTCATTCATCTGAAAACCTAATCATCTGTCTGGAAAAGTCAACAGCTTTGGTTCCTTGCTTATCAAAAATGCAAAAGACCCCGTGGAGTTTCCCATTGCAGAGATCTCATCACCTTCCCAGAAGGGACTCAGAGGGTATCCAGTGGCACTCGGGGTACTGAGAACTCTACCATTCTTGAAATAAGGTTAAAATTCTCCTCTGCCAAGACTGGGGAAGGGGTTAAGGAGGCAAGCAGACTGGAGAGATGCCTTCTCCTTTCTTTTTTTGGGGGTTTTTTTTTTTGAGACGGAGTTTCGCTCTTCTTCCCTAGGCTGGAGTGCAATGGCAGGATCTTGGCTCACTCCACAACTTCCGCCTCCCGGGTGCAAATGATTCTCCTGCCTCAGCCTCCCAAATAGGTGGGATTACAGGCATGTGCCACCATACCCAGCTAATTTTGTATTTTTACTAGAGATGAGGTTTCTCCCTGTTGGTCAGACTGGTCTTCAACTCCTTAACTCAGGTGATCCGCCCGTCTCAGCCTCCCAAAGTGCTGGGATTACAGGTGTGAGCCACCTTGCCCAGCCCTCTTCTTTCCTTTTTACCAAGCTTTGGACACAAAGTGCCATGAGTAAACTAGAAGATAACCATACCAACCCGAACTTGGTCAGTGAGGAAGTACTCCAGCTTTTCCTGGAGGGAGGGAATCTACTGAGTTGTAAGGTCAGTAGTCTTTAGTCTTCCCTTCCTCCTAGTGATAAAATTCCTGGGAGAAATGGGGTCCAACAATGGCTTGGGAAATTACCCTTCTGAGAAAGTAGTCTAGAAATGAGTATATGTGGACAGGGAAGGGAAGGTATGTAAAGAAAATTATTATTTTTGTTGGGGGAAGTAGGGTCTCACTCTGTCTCCCAGGCTGGAGTACAGTGGCACAGCCATGGCTCACTGAAGCCCCAACCTTCCAGGCTCAAGTGATCCTCCACTTCAACCTCCCAAGTAGCTGGAACTACAGGTATGCACCACCATGCCCAGCTAATTTTTGTATTTTTGTAGAGATGGGGTCTCTCTGTGTTACCCAGGCTGGTCTCAAATTCCTGGCCTCCAAAGCGCTGTAATAACAGGCATGAGTCACTACACCTGGCCCATGAAAATTAAAATGACTTAAGCATCAACTTCCCCTCCTTTAACCGTCTTTCCCACTATAGAACCTGTCTATCATCCATTTTTAATTTGGCAGCAATTCATAGAGGTAAGGAAAAGAGAAGAAATATAAGAAGAGCAAAAGTTAAATTTAGAAGCCCAGAGAACCACTGAGTTGTGAAAAATTAGTGGGACGAGTTAGGTCCTCTAGAAATTATAAAGTGGTATTCTACCCAATTCCTTATTCCTACCCTCAAATCAAAGATTGGCCACATAAGAAGTAAACAGAGAAGACAAATAAGGATTTTCAAAAACAAAACAATCAAGCATGGGGAAAATAATGCACAGATTCCTCTAACTGTCAGAAGCAACTTTATTTGGCCTCTGACACAGTCATTACCTTTTTTCAGCTCAGTTTCCAAAAGGATTAGGGTCCTCAGAGGAGCAGGCAATAATAGAAAAGTATTTTTAAACGAGTCCCCTGAACTGTCTCCTAGCTTCCAAGAAAACCTGACACATTTTCATCTAATGAGCTTTTCAAGCCTAATATACTACTCCCAGGGCTGTTCCATGAGGACATAAATCCTCTTATGTCTTCCTGAAGAAAAGGAACAAAAGCCAGTTCTCTTGCTTTTTTTTTTTTTTTTTTTGACACAGGGTCACTCTTTGTCATCCAGGCAGGAGTAGCACAGTGGCATGAACATGGCTCACTGCAACCTTGACATCCCTGGCTCAAGAGATCAACCTCAGTGGGAGTGGGAGTAGCTGGGACCCTGGGCACATGCTTGGCTAATGTTTGTATTTTTGTAGAGACGGGGTTTTGCCATGTTGCCCAGGCTGGTCTTGAACTCCTGGGCTCAGGCGATCCATCCACCCTGGCCTCCCAAAGTGCTGGCATTATAGATGTGAGCCACCATGCCCAGCCTACTTCTGCTCTTTCTAACTGCATCTGCAAACTACACTGATAGGCTTTCTAGCAGAAAAGTTTTTAAATGACCAACATTTTTACATGAGCCTTTTATACCAGTGGGCATATGTTTCAAGAGAAATGAAGACTACAGCTTAGTTCACAGAAGGAAATCAAATGCTTCTACAGCCAAGAAAGAAATGCAAATCAATTCTTCATTTGAGAACAGTAAAAACAAAGATAAGTAAAAGTCAAACTCAATTTAATTGAAGGGGTCCTTTATCTTTCGGCTTACTTTTCTATTTTTTTTTTTTTTTTTTTGAGATGTAATCTTGCTCTGTTGCTCAGGCTGGAGTGCAGTGGCGTGATCTAGGCTTACCACAACCTCTGCTTCAAGCGATTCTCCTGCCTCAGCCTTCCAAAGTAGCTGGGACTACAGGCGCATGCCACCATGATAGGCTAATTTTTTTATTTTTAGTAGAGATGGGTTTCATGATGTTGCAGGCTGGTTTCGAACTCCTGACTTTGTGATCCACCCACTGTGGCCTCCCAAAGCGCTGGGATTCCAGGCCTGAGCCACCTCGCCCAGCCCTCTGCTTAGTTTTCTTTCTAAATGATTAGCAATTAGCAAAAATGGATGAACTGATTTGAATCCCATTTCTCAATGGCCCTGGCAGAGATGCTTACAGGTAACCAGACTTAAAGAATACTGGCAGCGGATACTATGTGTGTGTAGATGGCCCTGAAACAGGATGCAAAAGCAAAGACACAATCACTGGTCTTCAAATTATTGAGCTACTTGCTCCCACCCACAATTTCCAAGTTCATTCTAGACCCCTACCTAAAATACAAAAATGTTTCAGGGTGCCTAACAAAAATTTTACACCCCAGGAGGCCTTTATTACTACTTACTAACAACTGTTTGAATTTGCTGTCCAGCTTGTTCTAAACAGACTCTCATCTCATCCACACCACCATAGTGCCAACACCAGTTCTAGGGGAAGATGGAAAAAATGGTTCTGGGACATCAGGTGTGGGCAACTGGAAACTCTGAAAAGCTCAAAGCTGTGTACTAATCTCCATTTTACTGAGACCATCCACTTTTCCCTTGACAGGGGTGATTCTAACGTGCCATGTCCCTGTGGCATGGGCAGTGGCAGTGTTTGAAGTGTGGTAGAAAGGGGACTAGGCTAACAGCCAAGGGGGCTGGGCTCCTATCTTAGTTCTGTCAGTCTGAGACCTTGGCCAAGTCACACTACCCCTTTCTGGCCCGTTTCCTCATCAGTAAAATGCATGGCTCAGGGTAGAAAATCTCTAAGAAACTTGCCTGCTATAATGATGATCCTTAGTAAGGGAAAAAAGAAGTGAAGGAGCTCATTTAACTCTCTTTTCATCTTCAAAAAAAAATTACAGGCCGGGTGCGGTAGCTCACACCTGTAATCCCAGCACTTTGGGAGGCTGAGGCAGGCAGATGACCTAAGGTTGCGAGTTTGAAATCAGTCTGACCAACATGGAGAAACCCCATCTCTACTAAAAATACAAAATTAGCTGGGCGTGGTGGTGCATGCCTGTAATCCCAGCTACTTGGGAGGCTGAGGCAGAACTGCTTGAACCCGGGAGGTGGAGGGCGGTGAGCCGAGATCACACCATTGCACTCCAGCCTGGGCAACAAGAGCAAAACTCTGTCACACACACAAAAGTAATAATTAAAAAAATAACGGATACATGACATTCTGTCAATACATACTGCCAAATTAATTTTTTGTTTGGTTTTCGGTTTTTGAGACGGAGTCTCACTCTATTGCTCAGATGGGAGTGCAGTGGCACCATCTCAGCTCACTGCACCCTCCACCGCCCCGGTCCAAGTGGTTCTCCTGCCTCAGCCTCCCAAGCAGCTGGGATTACAGGTGCCCACCACCACGCCTGGCTAATTTTTGTGTTTTTAGTAGAGACAGGGTTTTGCTACGTTTGCTAGGCTGGTCTTGAACTCCTGACCTCAGGTGATCAGCCTACCTGGGCCTCGAAAAGTGCTGAGATTATAGGCGTTGAGCCACCGCACCCGCCAGTCAAATTAAAATTTTAAAGAGCCACAGATGTACTATCTGTCTTGAAAGACAATATGACCTGTTAGCGCCAGGTAACTCAGGATTATTGACTACCTTTCTCAAGGCCCTTTCCACTCCACAGCTGTCACGCCTGCTGAAGGATAGAGTTTCCAGGTCCCTTGAAAACACCTGAGAAACTGAGCCAGCTGGATATTCCTTAATCATATGTTCTCCAAAAGCTACAAAGACCTACTACATAAAGTCCTTGGTTGCAATGATATTTCCAATAATAGAAATAAGTTACATTATCCACATTCTACTCAGTTCCAAACATGGTCACTTGTTGGCTTGTATCTGAAGCACGAATCCAAGTGATAGAAAAGAGTTAACATGTCCAGTGGGGTTGAAATCATACACAAGTGCGAACATTAGCTCCCAAACTAAGCTGAGCTAGAGGTGGAGGGGCAATGGATCAACTGTAAAGAAGCAGGTCAGGACACCGCCTCTCCTTATATGCTGCCTAGAACGCCTTCTCTGACAGTTGCGGAACGCAAAAGGCAAGGCGCTTCAGGGATCAAACCTACTCGTAAAGGGGGACTCTGAGGCCCAAAGAGAAAGTAACTTGCCCAGAGTGACGCAGTAAGGCCCCACCTCCCCTCGAAGCCAACGGCGATGACATCCAGGCGAGGGATTACGGAACCACCACAGCCTGGGCCAGCGGAAGGGGACGGGACGCCACGACGAGTAGGGCGGCTTGCCGCCTCAAGACCCTCATCGCCGCCAGGGGTGTCTCTTCTGCTGGAGGAGCCTCCCACCGGGCCACAGCACAGCAGCGCTACCCACCGCAGGACAAAACTGCCCCGCAATCTTCCCCGGCCGCGGGGCTCCAGGGCCTTCAGGACGCCACTCCCACTATCACCCCAGAGGGTGAATTGCGGTGAGAACCGAAACCGGCCTCACCTCTACCCCCGTGGCCCCTTCTCGGGACTGCAAGTCTGAATGTGGACACCCCAAGGGCCTAACTGCCCCTTTCCACTTGAGGCACTCACCAGGGACAGCAGCCAGCAGCGGCGCGACAGCAACAGTAGGGAGCGTGACGGGGGGCGGGGCTAAGCACGAGTGAGAGCCCGCCAGGCCCCGCCCATAACGTCAAAACGGTCGGCAAGCCCCGCCCTCGCGCGACGCTTGCTGGGACTTGTAGTGCTCAGGTGACCCGGCCCCAGGCGTGATCAGCTGCCCTTGAGGGCTCTCCTGAGTCCTGGACAGCTCTTCTAAGTCCTGGGCAGTGATCTCACCCAAAGAAATCTATTTCATCCCCTGGAAGGAGCTGTTCACTTTTTTTTTTCTTTTAAACTTTGAGGCGTGAGAATAGCTTGAACTTGGCAAAGGGTACAGTGAGCCGAGATCGCGCCGCTGCAATCCAGGCTGGGCGTGATCTCTTTTTTTTTTTTCTTTTTCTGTCGTCCAGGTTGGAGTGCAGTGGCGCAAACTCGGCTCAATGCAGCCCGGACCTCCCTGGCTCAGGTGATCCTCCCACTTCAGTCTCTTGAGTAGCTGGGACAACCATGGTGGTCACTTGGTGCTTGCCACCACGCCAGGCTAATTTTTGTATTTTTAGTAGAGACAGGGTTTTGCCATGTTGCCCAATCTGGTCTTGAAATCCTGGGCTCAAAAGATCCACCCACCTCTGCCTCCCAAACTGTTGGGATTACAGACCTGAGTCACTGCGCCCTGAACGAGAAAGCTTTATACATTTGAAGGGCCATTAAGAGGTCATCTTCTGCTTCAGGTAATGGAGGATGAAGCAGAAAAAAAATAAAAATAAAAAAAAATAAGAGGTCATCTTCATTATTCTCCTGGCTTCACTGAACACTACTTCACTGAGTCTTTTTTATGTTTTTGAGACAGGGTCTTACTCTGTCGCCCAGGCTGGAGGGTAGCCTCGAGATCTCAGCTCACTGCACGCTTTGCCTCCCAAGTTCAAGCTATTCTCATGCCTTAGGTTCCCAAGTATCTGGGATTACAGGTGCATTACCACCACGCATGGCTCTTTTTTTTTTTTTTTTGGTATTTTTAGTAGAGACAGAGTTTCACCATGTTGGCCAGGCTGGTCTTGAACTCCTCACCTCAAACAATCCGCCCACCTCGGCATCCCAAAGCGCTGGGATTACAGGTATAAGCCAAGGGTCTTTCTTTTTTTTTTTTTTTTTTTGAGATGGAATCTCGCTCTGTTGCCCAGGCTGGAGTGCAGTGATACTATCTCAGCTGATGGCAACTGCCACCTCCTGGGTTCAAGCGATTCTTCTGCCTCAGCCTCCAGAATAGCTGGGATTGCAGACACCCACCACCACACCCGGCTGATTTTTGTATTTTTAGTAGAGACAGGGTTTCACCATTTTGGCCAAACTGGTCTTGAACTCCTGACCTCAGGTCATCCACCTGCCTCAGCCTCCCAAAGTGCTGGGATTACGTGCATGGGCCACCACACCCCGCCCAAGGGTCTTATTAACAGATGAGACCCGAAGGAGATCAATTCAAGATGGCCTACCACTAACAGCTCAGGATTGTAGCTCTCAGTGAAAGCTCAGAGAACGAGACGACGCCACATCTTTAGACGAATTTTTGTCACTCACCGATTAGCCGATTCCCAGTGGAGGAGCCCCACGGGTCGCCAGCGTGACTCTTGTGGCCGCCTAGTGGTTTTGCCGGCGTCTGGGCGCAGCAGCTCTTCACGCAGAGCCAACGGGACTGCTTCCCCTACTGATTGGAGTTTGGAGCTCCGGGAAGTCAGAGCCGCTTGTTGCGGACTCAAGAGGGAAACCAGACCAGAGATTCCCAGGCAGAAGAGCACCATCAGTCTTATCGCTGCTATTTAGGCTGCCACAGTGGGTTGCTCGCATCCCAGCACTGGGAATCAATAAGTCGGATGTCGACTCAGAAACCTAATTAGAAAGGCGGTTCATCTACAATGAAGGGAAAAAAACAGCCTAAGAAGGCCTAGTATACTCAAAATCAGAACCCATCAGCAACGGAACAAGCCCTATTGGAAAAGGACTCATCAGCAACCGAACAAGCCCTGATGGAAAAGGGCTCATCAGTAACGGAGCAAGCCCTGATGGAAAAGGACTGTGTTCCATTATCTGAAGTAGGCTTTAAAAGGTGGATGATAAGAAACTTCTGGGAGTTAAAGGAACTTGTTCTAACCCAATGTAAAGAAACTAAGAACTTGGAAAAAAGGTTAGATGAAATGTTGAAAAGAACAGACAATATAGAGAGGAATACAAATGAACTTATGGAGTTGAAAAATACAACACGAGAACTTAGTGAAATATGTACAAGCTTAAACAGCCGAATGGATCAAGCAGAAGAAAGGGTATCAGAGGTCGAAGACCAACTTAATGAAACAAAACGACAAGACAAGAATAGAGAAAAAAGGATAAAAAGGAATGAGCAAAGTCTCCAAGCAATATGGGACTATGTGAAAAGACCTAATATACGCTTGATTGGTGTACCTGAATGTGACGGAGAGAATGAAGTCAAGCTGGAAAATACTCTCCAGGACATTATCCAGGAAAATTTTCCTAATTTAGCAAAGCAGGACACTGTTCAACCCCAGGCAATACAGAGAACACCACAAAGATATGCCTCAAGAAGACCAACCCCAAGGCACATAATCGTTAGATTCACCAAGATCGAAACGAAGGAGAAAATATTAAGGGCAGCCAGAGAGGAAGATCAAGTTACCCATAAAGGTAAGCCTATTAGGCTTACAGCAGATCTCTCAATGGAAACCCTACAAGCTAGAAGAGAGTGGGGGCCAATATTCAATATACTTAATCAACAGAATTTCATATCCTGCCAATTTAAGTTTTACATTTGAAGGAAAAATAAAATCTTTTAGGAACAAGCAAGTACTCAGAGATTTTATTACCACCAGGCCTGCTTTACAAGAACTTCTAAAAGAAGCATTATACACAGAAAGGAACAACCAGTATGACCCTTTCTAAAAATACACCAAAAAGTAAAGAGCATTAACATAAAGAAGAATTTTTATCAACGAAAGGACAAGAGAGCCAGTTAATATCAAATGGCAGCAACCCTAAATTTAAATCGACCAAATCTCCCAATCAAAAGATACAGACACTCAAAATAAAGGGTTGGAAAAAAAAAATACCAACCAAATGGAGAGCAAAAATAAATAAGAAGCAGGAGTTGCAATTTTCACATTTGACAAAATAGATTTCAAAGCTACAAGGATATAAGGGTAAAAGGATTAATGTAATAATAAGAGATCTTAACACCCAGATACATAAGACCCATAATGAGATTTAGATTCAACGAGACAGAAAATTGATAATGATATCCGGGACTGGAACTAAGATCCAGAACAAATAAACTCAATAGAGCTCTCCATTTTAAACATACAAAATATACATTATCCACAAAATCTAACGATATATCTAAAGATATACAAAGACTCAAAACAAGGGGATGGAAAAAAACTCACCAACCAAATGGAGAGCAAAAATAAATAAATAAAAAGCAGGAGTTGTAATTCTCACACTTAATAAAATAGATTTCAAATCTACAAGGATGCAAGGGTAAAAGGATTAATGTAACAATAAGACATCTTAACACCCAGATACATAAGACACATAATGAGATTTAGATTCAACGAGACAACAAATTGATAACGATATCCAGGACTTGAACTCAGAGCCAGAACAAATAAACACAATAGAGGTTTCCATTTTAAACACATAAAATATGCATTAACCACTTTAAACACTCAAAATACTGATCAGCCATTATTGAAACCCATTTTAGAAATGAAGTAATATTCCTTTTTCCCTCTTTTTCTTTTTTCCCCTTCTTTTTCTCTTTTTCCCTCAAAAAAAAAAAAAAAAAAAACAGATGAGACCCTCTTTGGCTGTTAGACATGCCTCCCACCTGTCTTAAAGGAGACAAAGCAATCTTCCTGGGTCCCCTTGTTTGTGTTTGTGTTTTTTTTTTTTTTTTTTTTTTGAGATGGAATCTTGATTTGTTACCCAGGCTGCAGTGCAATGGCACAATCTTGGCTCACTGTAACCTCCGCCTCCCGGGTTCAAGCGATTATCCTGCCTCAGCCTCCCGAGTAGCTGGGATTACAGGCATCCCCCACCATGCCCAGCTAATTTTTGTATTTTTAGTAGAGACAAGGTTTCACCATGTTGGTCAGACCGGGTTTGTGGGTTTTATCATTCTCTATTAAGAAATCTTTTTTTTTTTTTTTTTTGAGACAGAGTCTCACTCTGTCGACAGGTGCCAAGCTGGAGTGCAGTGGCACAATCACTGCAACCTCTGCCTCCCGGGCTCAAGCAATTCTCCTGCCTCAGCCTCCCGAGTAGCTGGGACTACAGGCACACGCCACCATGCCTAGCTAATTTTTTTTTTGTATTTTTAGTAGAGACAGGGTTTCATCACGTTGGTCAGGATGGTCTTGATCTCTTGACTTCGTGATCCACGCCCCCTCGGCCTCCCAAAGTGCTGGGATTACAGGCTTGAGCCACTGCGCCCAGCCAGAAATGATTTTTTAGAGTTAATTCTGTTGGCGTAGTGTTCTTAGTTAAGAATAAACTCTGCTGGACATGGTGGCTCACCCCTGTAATCCCAGTGCTTGGGGAGGCCAAGGCTGGTGGATCACCTGAGGTCAGGAGTTCGAGACCAGCCTGACCAGCATGGATAAACACTGTCTTTACTAAAAATACAAAATTAGCCAGGCCAGGTGCAGCATGCTTGTAATATCAGCTACTTTAGAGGCTGAAGCAGAAGAATTGCTTGGACCCGGGAGGTGGAGGTTGTAGTGAGCCAAGATCGTGCCATTGCACTCCAGACTGGGCAACAAGAGTGAAACTCCATCTTAAAAAAAAAAAAAAAAAAGAATAAACTCATGGCCAGGCATGGTGGCTCACACCTGTAATCCCAACACTTTGGGTGGCCGAGGTGGAAGATCTCTTGAGCCCAGAAGTTTCAGATCAGCATGGACAAGATGGGGAGACCCCATCTCTACAAAAAAATTTAAAAATTAGCCGGGCGTGGAGGTGTGCGCCTATAGTCCCAGCCAGTCAGGAGGTTGAGGTGGCAGGATCACTTGAGCCTGGGAGGTGGAGGCTACAATCACACCA